TATATATATATATACATATATATATATATATGCCTTTCTTTTCTAAAATAGCATTCAAGGTCCTCTCTAAATGCTGACTTCCAACTACTCTCCTACCCTTGTCAGTCGTTTGACAAAATGTTTGTTAACCACTTTCTGAAGCGTGGAGTTGACCTTGGGGTAGGCATTAGGGTTTCAGTGGTGAAAAAAACAGTTCAGACCCTTAAGACCACAACAGCTTTTCTCAACTCCACACTTGTAATCAACACCTGCATTGTCCCCTGTTCTTCATTACTATTTTGTAAAACTTTTTGTTTTTAATTGAGTGAAAGTTTACAGAGCAGATCATCAGTTTTACACTGAAAAAAATCATATACCTTGCTTCATTATAATGATTGCAATCTTTCCATGTACCCACAGTTAACAACATTTACCTCTATTCACTTTAAAATTGCATTCCTCTCTGTGTCTCCCTCAACCTTCATCTTTCCTCTGCTAACCTCCCCCTTGATGTATATTGCCTGCCTTGTCACCCATGTTAACATGTGTCCACCCGCTAGCCTGTGAATAATTTTTTCTCTCTCTCCTCTATGCCCTGTAACCATCATAGATTGTTTCTTTTATCAAGTGAACCTTTCCTCAACTTTCTACAACATTGGTCTGATACAATATTTATCCTTTTATGATTCACTAATTTCAGTCAGCATAATGGCCTCCAGGCTCATCCATGTTGCAGGTGTTTTGCAGATTCAGCATTATTCTCCAACATTGCAGAGTATTTGTGTATATGTACCAATGTTTGTTTAACCCTTTGTTGATAGGCATTTAGGTTGTGTACATCTTTTGATGTGTCTCTTGTAGACAGCATATTGAAGGATCCTGTTTACTTATCCATTCTGCTATTTTTGTCTATTGACTGGTGCATTGAATCCATTTACATTCAGTATAATTATTGACAGGTAATTGATTGCTGTCATTTTGATGAAGTTTTTTTTTTGTGTGTATGTGGTGCTGTTAGTTTCTTTGTTCCACATAATTTTCTGTGCTGAGTTCATTTTGCTTGTGGGATTTCTTTTCATTTTCATTTCTGTTGTGTTAATGGTTATGAAATTTTTCTGATGTTCTTCTTTTTTTATTTTGATGGGCAGGTATATTACTTTTCATTGAGGTGACCCTGTAATTTACTGATTTTTTTCCCTACTTAAAATAATCTGTTGTATCTTGAAATCTACTTGACTTTCTTGCCTTTTGGAAATTCTGTGTCTACACTATTCCCTCTTTTTACTTTGTAGTTGCCTTCACTATAAATAGATATCTCTGGTTCCCTATTTTCAGTCTTGTAGGTTTGTTTTACTTTGAATACTTATATAGCTGGTTTGAGTTCTGGGTGGTGTCATGTGTGGTAATTTCAGGTTGTTGTCTGCTGTTTCTCATTCCAAAGAACATTCTTTAATCTTTTTTGTAAAGTTGGTCTGATCATTATAAATTACTTTAATTTTTGTTTATCTGGAAATATCCTAATTTTACTGTTGTATATGAGGAGAAGCTTTGCTGGATGAATGCTTCTTAGTTGGCAAATTTTTACTTTCAGAATTTTGTATATGCCACTCAATTGTCTTCTTGACTATATAGTTTCTGCTGAGAAATCTGAACTTAGTCTTTTTGATTCTCCTTTAAAGGTAATTTTCATTTCCCCCCAACTGCTCATTAGTTTTAGAGAATTTGATTATGATATGTCTTGGTGATTTGCTATTTGGGAGTCATTCAACTTCTTGAAGGCTTATCTTTTCATCTTTCATGGTGTTAGAGAAGTTTTCTTCCAACAACTCTTTGATGATGTTTTCTGTGCTTTTTTGTTTTTGTCTCTTCCTGTTCTGAAATGTCAATCACCTGAAAGTTTCTCCTCTTCATGGTGTCTCACATAACTCTTGGGCTTTCTTTGAATATTTTCATTCTTTTTTCTGGTTGTTCTTCTAGCATACTAGTATTGAGGGCTTTATCTTCAAGCTCCCTAATTTGAGTTTCCATTGCTTCAAATCTATTCCTTTGCCCTTTCAATGTATTGTCCATTTCTGAAATCTTAGTATTAGTCTTCTGGATTTCTAATGCAGGTTTTGTATTGTTCCAAAATTTGCATTTATTTCATCTGTTTGTTCTTGTAGTATTTTTCCTGAATTCTTCTGAAGTTTTTCTGTGTTTTCCATGCTTCCCACTATATTTCTATCCCTCCTTTAAAGGTACTTAAATACCATTTTTTTGAGTTATTTTTCAGTTAATTCCACTACCTTTCTTCCTCAGAAACATTTTCTGGTTCTGCATCATCTTGGTCATATATTTGTGCCATTCTCTCGTTTCTTTGTATGAGCTAAAATCTTGTGTTGTCTCTGGGATATTTTGGGGTTGTTGTATTTGTATTTAATTTATGATTGTATGTTAGTATGTTCTTAGGCTCTCACCAACTGTCTCCTGTGAGTGTAGTTAGAGAATAGAAGCTTGTATACAGCTTTTGATCACCATTCATGTGCCTCAATTTAGGATGGGTTTGACTGGTGTTGGCTGCTATCATTGATCAGGTGCTATAAGAAGGAGCTTGTATTGACTCTTGTCCAACAGATGGTAATGTAGAGAGTCAATTGTGACTGAGCTGTATGGTCATGGTTGCTGCGTCCTGTTGAATGGGGAAAAGAAGACCCCTCCCCACATACAAGAAAACAAAAGAGAAAAACAAACAAGGAACCAATAATGAAAAGTGCAATTAATAAAGAGAAAAAGAAATACAAATAGGCAGCAAAAAGAAGAAAGAAGATAATAGCTATAAAGACAAAAGATGGGTAGGGAAATGGAGTTATAGAAGACAAAAGTAAGAGAGAAAGGAATAAATTAAGAAGCACTTAAGAATAACTAAAATAAGAAGAGGGACAAGAAAATGGAGTTATAGAAGAGAAACATAAGAGAGGCAATGCAAGGAAGAAATAACAACAACAAAATGCAAAAAAACTTAGAAAAACCAGGGGGAGCTAAGGTGAAAAGAGAAAGAAAGTAAAGAGTAGTAAGTAAAGAAAGATCAAAAGAGGGTGAAAAAGCAAAGAGGAGAAATAAGAAACATAAGAAAAGAAGGAAAAACAACAGTGAGAATAGAAAGGGTAAAATTCAAGGGAATGGAAAAAGAAGAAGGAGACAATGAAACCAAGAATAAGACCCCCCCAAAAAAAAAACAAAAAACAAAAAAAAAAACAACCAATGTAGCTGTTCCACCCAGACAGGAGAAAACTCTGGGGGCTCCTGCAAGCCAAAGAGCTTACAAGGTGGGAGTGGGAGGGCTGTGACAGCAGAATTCATGGCCATAGCTGAAATTCTTGTTGGCCTTGGTGTTATTAATGTTCAGGGAACTCAATCTGGAAGTAGTTCGTGGAGGTCACCAGGTGACCTATTCTAAATGTCATGGGCAATAGGGAAGGTTTACTGAGAAGGCAAAATCTGAGTTGGACTCTAGGGGCTGGGCAAGAGTTTGGATGAAGTAAAAGTACTAAAGGAGACTTCCAGCAAGATGGTGGACAAGGTAGACACACTACAACAAAGATATAAGAGATAAAATGAAGCAGATGCAGATGAAACTCCTGGAACCCTGAACTTCAGAAGAATGTTTCCTTTATTTTAGGAACCTGGGTTGGCTGCCACCCTATCTATGAATTCTTTAATAGCACATCCCCAGCTTTTTATTTTTGTGTGCACACATTCTAGGCTCATTAAACACCTCAAATCATGCTTTCTAAAGCAGATATGAGAAGGCTTCAATAGCATTTAAATTCCAACTTGGTCTTGGGTACAGAGAAGCTGAGAGTTCTCTCCTAATTCTTTCACTGGGAACCCAAGTGTCTTCATTGCCTTTTATATCTTCTTGTTGTTAAGTGCCATCACGTCAGTTCTTACTCACAGAGACCCTGTATAGTGTTTCCAAGTAGTGGCTGGTGGGTTTGAATCGCTGACCTTGGGGTTAGCAGTCAGGTACTTAACATTTATTATTTTCTCTTATCATAGAGTTCACAAGGGAAAATAAAGGTTGAAGTCAAGACATTTGCTGGCCCAGGGTCCCTATCAGAGAATGTCCACTTCCAGGGAATACCATCATTCCTCTCCTGAGTCTTTTTGGGGACTATGTTTCTCATTCTACCTGCATGTTCACCCCCAGGACAGTTTGAAAAATCTTCCTATCTCCAGCAGAGGGTTATAAACACTACCGGTGGTGCTGTGGGTTAGGTATTGGGCTGCCAACCACAAGGTCGGTTCAAAATTCATCATCCACTGCAAGGGAGAAAGATGAGGCTATCTGTTCCTGTAAAGATTTACAGATTTAATTCATATAGGGTGGCTATGAATTGGAATGCACTCAATGGCAGTGGGTAAGGACTCTTAAGTTCTGGTATGGGAGGAGGTCTGTGGTGGAGGAGGAGGGGGGGATGACACCATGAGTAACTGGGTGACACCAACTCTTGTGACGCCACTGGGGCTCCCCTTGACTTCCTCTCTTTGGTAGGGCAAGGGTTAATGGTGAATTGCAACATATCTCTGGGCTGAGTCACCACCCCCTGCCACTCCCCCCAACTCCCCTCAGCTGTAGTTTTTATAAAGAGATCCCAAAGGCTGGAGTGGGAAAGGAACTGGAGGTAAGATCCCCTCCTAACCCCTAGCCTCCCAGAAACCTCAGTCTCTGGAGCTTTTGCCTGGTGGAAGATGAACTGGCAGCGACTGTGGCTGGGTTTCCTACTGTCCATGACAGTCTCAGGCCGGGCCCTTGGGCCTGCAGAGAAGGAGACGGCTGTGGTGAGTCCCAGAGAAAAAGGGGTTCTGGCAGATGGAGGGCAGGAAGTGCCACTCCACAGTTCCATCTAAGCCTAGCTCCTGACCTTTATCCTGCCTCCTTTCTCTTCCTTCCTCTACTTTGTGATCAACCTGTGCCTGCTCTCTTTCCCAATGTTCTACCTGAGCTCCTTCCCTTTCATTCAGTCCCTCTCTGTCTAGTCCCCATTTATCCTGATGGGCCCGCTAGGCTTTAGAAGGTTCACCTGAGACTAGCCCCTTTTTGATCCTGTTTGTTCTCACCTCATCATAGAATTATCTGCTGCAATATGGGTACCTACAGAAACCTCTAGAAGGGCCTGATGACTTCAAGCCAGAAGACATTACAGAGGCTCTGAGGTGAGAGGCTCCAAAGCACATGGCTTCAGAGTTGAGGTTATAAGGTCTTCTTCCTTCTTGTCATCCCTTCCTTTCCTCAGGTCCACCTTTGCCTGGTCCAAGTGCATTTCTGAGATCCAAAGGTTGAGTGGCTATTATTGTTAGGGTGGTAGGGCATATGGGGCAAGATGGAGAACCCATGGAGAAGGAGAACAGTCATTGGCTCTTCCTAGGCCCTAAGCATGCCTTTGAGTCCTTGGGTGGTACAAATATGTAACATGCTCAGCTGTGAATCAAAAGGTTGGAAGTTTTGATTCACCCAAAAGTGCCTTGGAAGAAAGTCCTGGCAATTTGCATCTGAAAACTCAGCCATTGAAAACCCTATGAAGTGTAGTTCTACTTTGAAACACATGGTATCACCATGAGTCAGAATCCTCTCTATGGCAACTGGTGTTTGAAGCACCTCTTTGGAAGACTCCACCCCACATTATATCCAAAATGCTAATATTCAGTCACATCTTACATAAATTATGATTTTTATGTAACCATAAGTTGAATTGAGTTAGAGTTGAGTTGTTAACACAAATCAGTTTGAACTACAAGGTCAGTGGTTCAAGCTCACCAGCTGCTCCTCAGAAACCCTATACAAGGTTGCTATGGGTCGGAACCAGCTCAACGACACTTAATAACAACATGGACATTTAATTCAACATTTATATATTTCTGTTTTGAAGTTTTCCTTTCATATTTTTGATATAGTGGATTTTTTTCTGTTCTTCAAACGTGTTCATAGTTCACTGAAAAATCCTCAGGCACTGGTAACAGGGCAGGCTGAGATTAGCTGTGGGAGGACAAGTCCTGAGGCTAGAGTGCTGAAGGGGGAACATTCAGAGTGAGAAACAAGGCACTTTCCCAGAGTGGCAACAGTGCTGGCAGCGATTCTATGTGATTGAGTCGTTTCTGGCTCCTAGTGACCCCGTATAGGATTTCCAAGGGTGTAAATCTTTATGGGAGCAGAAAGCCTCACATTTTTCCTATGGAGTGACTGGTAGATTCAAACTTCTGACTTTGTGGTTAGAGGCCCAGCTCATAACCCACAAAAGGTTAATCACTGCAGTAGAAACTGAGCCAGACCTCTGTCAAATAAAAAAATACTGAGGATGAGGAAATGAAGTTGGAGTATCACCATTTTTTTTGCAAAAGAGGAAAGAGCCCCAATTATGAAGACTGGAGGCTGGAGTGACACCCCCACCCCACCCCACCCCCCAGCTATTCTTGATCTCCACCTTCAACAGCAGTAGGCCAAAAACTCTCCCTAGTCATTCCAGAGTTCTCTGCCCTGATTCCTGCCTTGCTGGATCCATCCAACTCCTTCCTTCCAGAATTTTTCAGGAAGCTTCTGAGCTGCCAGTCTCAGGTCAGTTGGATGATGCCACAAAGGCCCGCATGAGGCAGCCCCGCTGTGGCCTAGAAGACCCCTTCAACCAGAAGACTCTTAAATACCTGCTGCTGGGTAAGGACTGAGCCAGGAAAAAAGAGGGAGAGGAGACAGAGGAATTGGGAAGTCCTGGGCTAGCTCTGTGTTGAATGATCACTTGGTACCTGGTGATCACCTGCCTGGAGGAGTTATGATCTAGTTTTGCTACAGTGGAGCTTGGTACCTTGAGGTTACAGTAACATCTGTGTTTCTAATCTATTTTCTGATTTGATAACCAGGTCGCTGGAGGAAGAAGCACCTGACCTTCCGCATCTTGAACCTGCCTTCCACCCTTCCATCCCACATAGCCCGGGCAGCCTTGCTTCAAGCCTTCCATTATTGGAGAAATGTGGCACCCCTGACCTTCCGGGAGGTGCAGGCTGGTTGGGCTGACATCCGCCTGTCCTTCCATGGCCGCAAAAGTCCATATTGCTCCAATACCTTTGATGGGCCTGGTAGGGACCTGCTCCCACATCACAGATCTCTGAGATTACTTCTGTCCCCTTGAGTCTGAGACTGTGGAGTCTTAATGTTCAGACTGTCCCCTAAGGTCACCTATACCCTATGTTCTCCAACCACATTCTAATATTCCCAGGGGCATAGTTGGCCACTTATTTGGGACTTTACCAAGCCTCCTCTTCAGAAATTATGCCTCATTCCCTGGTTTAAATTCCTTTACCCAGTGTACACTTCAAGGAAGCTGTACCAGAAAAAGAAAGTGGCTGAGAAGTAATGGGACAGTCATGAGTATCTCTGTGAGAAATGGGTGATGACAGGAAAATAGAAAAGAAGAGAGACACTCAAGAGACAGTGACAATAAATGGGGGAATTTTAAAGAAATTTAGTAATTGGAGGAGTACTGGTAATATAGTTAGTTAGCACTTCTCTGCTGACCAGAAGGTCAGCAGTTCAAATCCACCAGCTGCTCCAAGGGAGAAAGATGTGGCAGTCTGCTTCTGTGAAGATGTAGAGCCTTGGAAATCCTATAAGGCAGTTCTACTCTGTCCTATATACGTTAGGCTTGACTCAATGGTGGTGGGTTTTTGGTTTTTGAGGAGTGATTGGTGTTTATAGTAGGTAAGGGATGCTCCAGCTTGGTGCCCTTAACCTCCTTCCTGTCCTCCATTTCCTTTGTCTAGGGAGGGTCCTGGCTCATGCTGACATCCCAGAGTTGGGCAGTGTGCATTTTGATGAAGATGAACTCTGGACTGAGGGAACCTACCGGGGAGTGAACCTGCGAATCATTGCAGCCCATGAACTAGGCCATGCCCTGGGGCTTGGACACTCACGGTATACCAAGGCCCTCATGGCACCTGTTTATACTGGTTACCAACCCAACTTCAAACTGCACCCGGATGATATAGCAGGCATCCAGGCTCTCTATGGTCAGTCCTTTCCCCTGGTGAGCATGAGGGTTGATCTGGCTAGCTTCTCTTCTTGGAGAGGAAATGGCTCAGCTTGTTTCTCTTCCTCCTGCTCAGTTATTCCAGCTTCGTCATCTTCAGAACTGCTTCTCCCTACTCTTCCATGTCTAATCTTCCTTCTAAGCCTCTTTCACTTCACACCATTCTTGGGCATGGAGAATATACATTCCACTAAACCTCCTTTCTCCTTTTTGGTGCCTCTCAGAATGAACTTGTCTCCTGATGATATCAATATGATCTCACCTAGCACTGAAAGAAACTCTCTAGGTCTCTCTATGGACTCTTAACGGAACTTATAATGGATGGGGTGGCCAGGTGACATGAGTTGTCTTACTGAGCTGCATTACTTCACCTTGTAGGCAAGAAGAACCCAGAGATAACGGATGAGGAAGAAGAAGAAACAGAGGAGCCCTCTCTACCTCCAGTGCCAACAGAGCCCAGCCCCATGCCAGACCCTTGCAGTGGTGAACTGGATGCCATGTTGCTGGGTGAAGCCCTTCCCCTCTGAGATGTAGATAGGTAGTAGGGATATAGACAGATATAGACAGGTAGTTGACCCTGAGGTCTGGACAATTGGAAGTAGCAAAGGACCTCAGGAGAAGCATAAGACTCCAGGCAGAAGTTGATGATCATGGAAGAAGGCATGTGTTGTGGAAGAGTCAGAGGCAAATGACAGGTGGACCAGCCAGCCAGTTTCCTTGGTTGCCACCCTATGTATGATGTTGTGCTTTCAAGTAGGTTCCAACATATAACGAAGCCTGTATAGGACTTCTGAGGGATTGGTTTAAAATCTTTTTGGGAGCAGAAAGGCTCATTTTCACAGAGTGGTTGGTGGATTTGAACTTCCAACCTTGTGGTTCACAGTTCAGTGCTTACCCTATGGCGCTACCCTATGTTATTGTTGTTAAGTGCCGTCAAGTCGGTTTCAACTCATAGTGACCCTGTAGAGGAGCGGCTGGTGAGGCTGAACTACTGACCTGGTGGTTCAAGCTGACCTTGCAGTCCAGTGCATTAACCTGCAGTGTCACACCAGGACTCCTTGGAGCCACCCTGTCAGAGCCACTCCATCTTGCTGTATTTCCAGATGAGTTTTAGTGGTTCTTATTGAGCCATCCTATAAGAGCCACTAAAACTTACCTGGAAATACAGCAAGATGGAGAAAGCAAAGTTAACCAGAATGCTTAGAGAGAGTCTTGTACCTGATTGGAAGCCATTTGGAATGGAGAGAGGTCCCCAAGAGGTCCAGTTATGTGTCAGTCTTTTGTTTTGTTGGTTGAGTCAGTGCTGAATTGCTCTGAACAAGGAGAGGCTGAGAACTGGGTCCTCCTTCTCAGTCCTAGATTAAGGATTATTTTAAAGTTGAAAGAATTCTTGAGGAATCAGTTTGTGGGAGGAGGCAAAATTATCAGCCTGCCTGAGACAGCACAAGTCTTTATATGACCCCTATCTTTTTCTACTTGTTGCTATACCTTTTACTCTCAGGGCCCCGTGGGAAAACCTATGCCTTCAAGGGGAACTATGTGTGGACCGTAACAGATTCAGGGCTGGGTCCCTTGTTTCGAGTGTCTGCCCTTTGGGAAGGGCTCCCAGGACACCTGGATGCTGCTGTATACTCTCCCCGAACACAATGGATTCATTTCTTTAAGGGTAAGGGACTCAGTTACAGCGTGGTATCTAAGGTTCAAACAAACCATAAAAGGGAGACAGAAACTTCTTCTTTCTGAAAGGATGAGATGGAGGGACCAAAATCCATCCCGTGAGAGCAGAGGTGACTTTTTTTTTTTTTTTTTCACATGCTCTCAGGAGACAAGGTGTGGCGCTACATTAATTTCAAGATGTCTCCTGGCTTTCCCAAGAAGTTGAATAGGGTAGGACCCAACCTGGATGCAGCTCTTTATTGGCCTCTCAACCAAAAGGTGTTCTTATTTAAGGTATAAAATTTAAAGAAGGGAAAATCACTTTAGGAGGGGTGTGCTATCTCACACTGAGAAGCAAAGACTTGCTCTTGAAGGGGAAAATCTTCTGCAGTTGGAGTGGGCTGGGACCAGGCCATTGTGGGGTCCCTAAATTCTCTCTTCATTTCCACCACTTCACAGGGCTCCGGATACTGGCAGTGGGATGAACTGGCCCCAACTGACTTCAGCAGCTACCCGAAACCAATCAAGAGATTGTTTACAGGAGTGCCAGACCAGCCCTCTGCTGCAATGAGTTGGCGGGATGGCCGAGTCTACTTCTTCAAGGGCAAGCACTACTGGCGTCTCAATCGGCAGCTTCGAGTAGAGAAAGGCTATCCCAGAGATATTGCTCAGAACTGGATGCACTGTCGCCCCCAGGCTGCAGGCACTACCCCATCAGGTGGGGAAACTGCTCCCTTGGCAACAGGTACTGATCACTCAGCCATAGGCACAACCTTAGATACCATTGACTCAGTCATAGGTACTACCTCGAACACTGACCACTCACCCACAATCATGGACACTATCCCTTCTGCCACAGGTCCTGACACCCTTTCATTACTTGGTGATAACATCACCTTTCCAGAGACCTAAGACCTGAGTTAAATGTCTGCTCATTAGAACTATGCAGGCTCCACAGCTGGGGCAGTCTCATGGGTTGCTATAAGTGTTAGGCCACAGGCTTCTCAAGGTCTCCAGCTCTGGTGAGCACTCCCCTGTGCTCTTTCCCTTGTAGATAGTACCTTTCTGAATTTGGGTCAGCCCCCATCTCCACCCCTTTCTTTCCCATCCTCATCCTCCATAGTACTTCAAACTGTATCATCTATTGTCTCAAGGGCAGTGGTGGAGAGCAGGTATCAATCAGTCCAGGTAGCAACAGCTGGGACACTAGATACCTGGGTCCTGTTCTTTCTAGATAAAGTGCAAAAGAACAGTACAGCCAGCAAAATGAGCAAGGACTCTGGAATCCCATTTACTTGCTTATCTGCAGGTTATTTAACCATTTTGAGCCTTAAGTTCCCCCTTTACAAAATAAGGTTAATTCTAATCCTGCAGGGGTGTTGCATTGCATAAGAAAGTATATAGGAAGTGCAGGCACAGTGTCTGGCACATTTGTGCTTAATAAAGAGTAACTTCATGTTCCTAAGAGGAGTGAATAGCTTTTCATTTGCTGTGTGTGTCTATGCCCTAGGCCAATAGGATAAGAAACCCTTAGATCTTGAGGAGACAAGAGGATTTGTCAACATGATTAATTCTTGGTTTGGGTATACAAATAAACAACCAGCAATAGTCCAGACTTCCAAACACAGTATTCAATGTCATTTTATTCACATACTCCCATGTACTTCCTCCCACCCATCATGGCCTCGCTGCCTAGGGTGTGATATATCTTCCTTCATGCTCTTTGGGAACAAGGGAGCAGACTTTGGGCTGGAGAGTTGGAGTGGGGGAGAGTTAGAGTGGGTTAATGGTTGGAACTTAACCAGAACATTTTTGGTTAAGAAGGATAAGAAGGTGTGGCGCTGTGGGCTAATGCGCTGGACTACAAGGTTGGTTTGAACCACAAGGTTGGTGGTTCAAGCTCACCAACCACTCCTTGGAAACCCTACACAGGATTTTTATGAGTTGGAATCGACTCAATGGCACTTAACAACAGTGAGAAGCAGAGAAGGCACTTGTCTCCCATGCAGTCCCAAAGACCAAGCTCCTATGGGCAAAACGGCAAGACTCTGGCATGTGGGTCAATGCTCTGTACTTGGAGCAGGAGGCCAATTTTTGTGGGAGGCAGTGCAGAGCCAGGTCTTCCCCGGGTTAAGACGAACCTGGGAAGCACCATGGAGGACAATGCCCCCAACTGAGGTAGGAGGAGGCTAGAGCCTGTGGGGTCTGGTGGGAAAGGCTAACCAGGAACCCAAGTACCCACTAACGAAGGGCCTGCAGATTGGAGGGGACTGAGACTCCTCTGTACCCTTCTTCCCATCAAAAAGGCTCCCTGATTTTCTATAGGTCGTGTAAAACAAAACTCCCAATTTGACCCTTGGGAGGCACACTGAGGCTGTTTTGGAAAGGACCCTCCCCAGTTTGGAGGGAATTAGAACATTTTTTGTGGGGAAGAGGCTCCTCTAGTATTGGACAGAAGTAGTATTCATACTGCCATTTCTTTACCCTCCCTTCAGGATTCCCCTCTGCTCCAGAAACATATCCTTACAAATATAGGGTGGGTTGGAACACAGATTATCCCCAACCTAAAGAAGTGAGGAAGTTTTTGTGTGGGTCCTGTGGGTTCAGGCCCTGCCCACCTAGTCTTCCCAGCCCTGCTACTAGGGGAGGTGGCATCATAGGAGGCTTAGGCTCAAGTCTGGGTAGAACCAGAAGTTGTGGTGAGGGGAACAGTGGAACCACAGTCAGAATCTAGGTCCAGAATGGTGTGGGGGGCAGTAGGCTGGGTGCCTGGGCTCAAATGGCGCTCTCGAAGGCTCTGGAGATAACTCTGTAAGGTATAGGACAGAAAGCGTGGAACAAGGGTCCAGGTCAGAGTCCCCTTCCTACACTGACCATTCCCCCCTACCCCCTTCTACTCCATTGCCCCAGGGTACCTACTACACTCACAGGAGCCAGGCTGTCAGCAGGGCTCCGGGTGTTGGGGGACAGTTGGCAACGGTAACTGCCTTCACAGAGCCCCACTCCAGCGGGGGTCCGGTGCCACTTGGCCTCTTGCTGACGAATCCGAAGAAGTTGGAGATGCCTTTGCTGGCGGCTTAAGACTACTGCTTGGGAAGAGGCAATACAGATGCAGGGGGGGCTTCTTGTTACCCTGAATCCCACCCCAACACACGCTCCCACTATAGAGAAACCCATCTTACCTCTTCTGTGTTGGTCCTTTCATGGTTCACCTTTTCCCCAGTTATTCCAAAAGTAACTCTTTGGAATCCTCCTACCTATTCCTCCTGGACTTACCTGAGATTTGATTTTTCTTCCATAATAGTTCTCAGTAACTCTTCTATTCCCTCTAGAATTTCTCTTCTCATTCTTACCTGGACCTTCTTTGGCTTCTCCAAATCTAACTTTATTCCAATCACCTTGGACATCCCCACTCTCCTCCCTCAAATGTATTTTTCCCTTTTCCCCTCATCAAGTCTGGGAATTGGGGACATGAGTGGACACAGGTTAGCTGATTCTGTACCATGACATGAACTTACCACTGGTGTGGCCTCCATGTTCCTCAGCCATGAGCTTCCACTGGGCCAGGGCCCCAAGAGCACTCAGCGCTGGCCAGGCCCCAAGTAAGACCCAGCTATACCAACAGAGAGGAGGCAGGGCTGGAAGTGCCTGTAGTCGTTGGGCAAGCCGACTGCCCAATGCCAGCTCCTCCAGGAAGAAGTCAGCACAGGCCACTAGCACTGCAGCACCTAGCAGGGCTGTGCCAAGGACTGTGAAGGGACGTGGCCACCGAAGCGTGAGCAGGGCTCCCAGCAGCGCCAGCCCCACCAGGCCCCCGGCTGGGACCCAGGCTGAAGGAGGTTGGTAGATGGGCTCAGTGGCCAATAGGGCCCCAGCACCCAAGGTCAGGCCTAGTAGGAGACCAGTCAGGAAGAGCCCAACACTGCGAACCAGCATGGTGACGAGGCCGCAGAGGAGTCCAATGCCCAGCGCGATGCCGGCGCTCACCTCCAAGCTCAGCTGTGTTTCCAGCACCCGCTCTTTGTGGCACAACAGGAAGATCACCAGAGCTCCTGACAGTAGGCCCGAGAGAAACATCACTGCCTTGAAGCAACGGTAGCCTGGGAATGGAGGCAGGAGTCACTGAGAGGTAGAAAGGTGCTGGAGGCATGTGTGTGTGTGTCTAAGGGTGGCTCTGATGATCTGCTTGAGTAAGGAATGGCTACCCAAAGGAGCACATCAAGGGGCAGAGAGGAATAATCTCAGAAAGGGCAAGGGGCTTTTCAGGAACTGAGGGGATGGAAGGGAGAATCAGGTCAGATATGTTGGGGAAAAGTCGAGAAAGAAAGTCTAGTCCTTGCAGGGATGGTAGGTGGGAAGAAATCAGCATAGCCTGATTCAGGCTACTGGGGAAGGGTAACAAAGCCTTAGGCAAGGAGGATAATTTGGAAGTGGAGTTTTCAGGTAGGAGGCAAGAGTTGCCAGGGGTCAGAGTCAGAGGGTATAAGTCTGGGGAAGGACAAGAAGAGGTGCTGGCAAAACAGGCATGGGACACACTGAAGGCAGGAATTCCCTGGTAGAGGAGTGGAGATGGCCCAGGAGAAGAACAAGATGCCATCATCCTTGAGGGTGACAGTCTTGGGCAGCTGTCCCCTAGGACTCTCACCGAAGCAGCAGTAGATGATTCCAAAGCAGCAGCAAAGAGCACACACTAGGGTAGGTGCCAGTTCAGGACTGTCCTGGGGTTCCAAGATACATCTTGGGTCTGGAGGCTCTGGGAGTTGTTGGTTAAAGGACCTAGGGTTAGAGGTCACCACCAGGGGCAGCAAGGCTTCCTCCATGGCTGAAGGGGGAGGTGTCAATTCCTCTCATCCATCCATGACAATCTTGAGGGGGCTGGGAAACCTGCAAGTGGCAGACACACTTGAATACTGAAGACTCTGAACCTCTTATTTCTTCTGAACAAAGTTCAGTTTCAGGAAGGAGAATGATCCTGCTGGGTTAGCTTAGATCTGTAGGATTGGGTTAAGGAAGAAGGCTATCTCTTCACTGCCCTCTGAAATAAGGACATTAAATAAAATTTAAGTAAAACGAAACTCACAGAAGCTAATGGGCCTTTGTTTACCCTCCATCTTTCCCAGGTTAGGGTAAGAACAGGAAGCTCTGGGTCTGCAGAGGGAAAGGTCCAAAAGGGGTACTGGTGGGATGGTGGCTAAAGCCCCAGCAGCTTGTTCCATCTGAGAAACTTGTTTTATCTGTGGCTGGGAACCAAAACTACCACTGGACTGGGAAGAGCGGGCTTAATAGAGGGATAGAGGGAGGAGGAAGAGGAGAGAATGAGTCACGGTGGGGGTCTTGGGACAGCTGCTCTAACCCAGGGAAAGGAAGAGGGAAAAACATCAGACCCCAAAGGAATTAAGTATAGATAGTTAACCGCACTTTGTCACGGTTTTGAAGCCTCAGTTTCATGCTCAGATAAGATTGTCCAGTTATATACAGTTCAACTCCCATGGCCCCTCATGCAATAAGTAAGTGCATCACCCATAAACATTTTAAAACCTGGCAGCTGCTCCTGTTCCTATCCATAGGACACTGGTAGGATTTTTTCCTACTTCTCCCTTTTCTCTAGAGTGGCAGGGCTATCAATGGGACTTAAATTTTGGGGGCACTGTTGGATAGATGAGTATTTTCCTTCAGCTGTCTTTATTTTGGACCTCAAGGTCCAAACAGGCTGGAGGGACTGCTTAGGAAATCCCTGGGACTCCTCCTCAGTTATCTTGGAAGTCTGGAGACCCTAAACAAGGGGACTTTGGGGAAGGGGTGTCTACTCACCACCCTGCCTTGTTTGAAGAGTGGAAGGGGTGGAATTGCTTCCCTAGTCCCTTAGCTGCATGCTTGCCCAGAGGTCCGAGGCTTCAGCGTGGCTGTCGGACGTGGGGACTCCCAGGTCACTCTGTTCATTGCCCCCTAAACTCTTGCAAGTCGTAGCCCAATCCCTGGGAGCTAAATGCAACCAGCTAGCGGGTGGAGAAAGGGGAGCGGGTGGGAGAGGATGACATCACGGGACGGGAACCTCCAATTCTTTCCTGTGTGTGTAGGGGGAACCCAGGTTGCCCATAGCTCTAAGCTAGAACCAGAGACCCCAAACTACAGCAGGGAAGGGTCTTGGGAGAGCATCGCAAGAGCTTTGGGAGAGGTTTTTGAATATTTATTAGATGACTCAACTCCAAGTTCAGAAATCCCCAACTGGGGTCTTAGTGGCCCCCCCTAACTCGGATTTGGTTTCGTCCACTTCCCAGAGAATTGGAGTATTGTCTACTGGAGAACCGGGTGGTCGGGATCGGGGGACACTGGGAAGGGGCTGTTATTGGCCTGGGGACCAGAGAGGGGCTCATTGGGGGGAAACCTTGAGGATCAAGACAGGGTCTGGAAAGGGCACAGACGAGAGTGATGTAAGAGGCTAGAGGCTTGTGCACAGGTGGGGACGGGGACCCTAGCCGGATCTGCAGGGGTGGGGGGGCGTGTCGACGTCAACCTAACGGCTTAGAATGCAAATGAGATGCAAAGAAGCAAGCAGCTGGGTGCAGTGTTCTTTGACACACGTCTCCGGCTCTAAACCCAGCGGAGCTACGCCCCCATCTCCCGGCTCCGTTCCTTGACCGAGTCTGGGAGCTGCGTCCAGAGGGGCGGATCCGGGCCGTGGGAGCTACAGTTATAAAGGGGCAATTCGCCAGCTGGTTCAGGCGCTCGGGAGGCCCAAGGTTTGCTGGGAAAGGAGAAGCAGCGCAGAGGGCCCGGGGCGGGGGCTAGCCTAGGGCGCCCTTCCCACCGCTCCACCCCTGCAGGATACAAAGAGGCCTCTGTCCTGGACTGTGGCCCGCGGGAAAGAGATCAGGGCGGTGGCTCCCCTGCGCACCCTGGTTTTGCCAGCAGGAAGTCTGTGGCTCGGTGGCACTCCTCCATCTCCCAATATCGGCAGAGCCCGGGAGTCCCACCAGAGGAACCCTGAGAATCTGTCCCCAGTCCGCAGGCAACTGCTGTAGCGCCCACTTGTTTCACTTCTAGCCGTGCAACCTGGCGGGATCCCACTCTAGCTTGCAGAAGAAGGCGGTGGAGGACACTTTAAGGGGCGGGGCCGGTGCTTCCTGGGACCGCCTCCTTTGATTTGACTGCTTTTGCTGGACCGGTTCGCCCCTTGGCCTACCACTTTCTTTTCCCTTCCCGTCTCTTCGCCGGTGACCCCGGAAGTGGAAGTGAACTCAGGTCGGCGGCAGAGACGGAAGACGGAAGCAGAGCGTGAACGGGAGGCGGAGCCGGGGGAGCTGCTAGCAGCTCCCCCTGGCCCCTGGTCCGTGGCCCAGCTGCTCGAGGGGAGGAGTTACCGCCGTACTCCGGTACGTTACCTTCGCCTCCGCCCCCCCCAACCGGCCCCGAGGATTCCAAAGTTGTCTCCCTTAGGGGCAACCCTAAGCTCCGCCCTTAGGTTTTCCTTAAGAGCTGCACGGTCCCCACCCTTTTCTGGCAGCCTCGGGCTCACCTTTCCGGTCGTCTTTCCGTTTTTCCCAAGAGTGACCCTAGGATCACACCTTTTACGGTACCTCACTCTTTAGCATTACAGGTTTCTGGGGAACTAAAAACTAGGGGAATTTGGAAGCGGGAGGAGAGGATAGGGTTGTGGTTAGTTTACTTTTTTTTTTTTTTTTTAGAGTCCTGTTGTGGTGTTGTGGGCTAACGCATCAG